CCTCCTCCTCCTCCTCCTCCACCCTCCTCCTCCTCCTCCTCCTCCTCCTCCTCCTCCCCCTCCTCCTCCTCCTCCATCTGCTTTCCTCAGAAGTACCTGCTCCGCATCGCCCCACCAGATGTGTCCGCAAGGGGCCAGCCTGGGCGTGGGCGCGCTTGAGGCACCCCTGCAGTGCCTTGACACCTTGAAGCCCCAGCGGAGGCGCCGACACGACAGCCACACGGATGCACGGCCGGCGGCTTCCAGAGTGCGGCTCTCTCGCCCTTGTTGGGGGGCGCGCAGACGTAGCTCGGGGGAGGCGCCCGCCCCAGAATGCGGCCGTTGCCGCCTCGCTCGGCGGAGGAAAGCCGCGATTTCCCACACACACACACGGGACCCGTCGCCGATCTCCGCGCGGGGGTTGATCCATGGTTGCGATCGCCTGACCCTAGTGCCGCGCACATTCGTCTTCAAAGGTTGCAAGAGGTTCACGGATGGGGGGCGGGTGGTTTTCAAGATGTGGCTCTCGCCCTGGCGTCACGCACGTTCGTCTCAAGAGTTCGCAAGCGTTTAACAGATGGATGCCGGCTCCTTTTCAAAATGCGGCTCTCGCTTTAACGTCGTGCACTCTCCTTCAAAAAGCCTGTTCGTTCACAAAATGCGGTTCTCGCCTTATCGCCCCGCACGTTCCTCTTAAACGGATAGGCGGGGTGATTTCAAACATCGTCTCTCGCCTTAGCGCCGCGCAATTTCGTTTCGTTCAAAGTGTCCAACAAATACAGGTAAGGAGGCTGGCTCGTTCTCACAAAATACGGCTCTCGCTTGACACATTCTCAACCTGTGCGACCCAAACTTCCAAAATGGTGTATCAGGTACACGGATGAATGGCGGTTCCTTTTCAAAGCGGGCCCCCCGCTTCAGACTTCCGCAGCTCAGTGAGAGCGCGCACCACTTACACGGATTCAGGGCAGACGTAAGCGCCATCGCTGGACACTTCTTTGAACTGTGTCAGCCGTGCTCTTCGCGTTTTCCATAAAAGAACGAGGGTGTATCCCAAAACGAGCGGGGCCCCGCCTCAGTGGCAGAAGCACAGGGCGCTCATCGTTCAAGGGGGCACTTCCCGCAGTGGAGAGGAATACTTCTTAGGCGTATAGGGGAAGAGACTTGGGACGGGAGGGTGTGCTGCAGCAAATGTAATGCATCCTGGGTTTACTTTGGTCCTTCTCCTCATCATCAGCAAAAGTCGCGCCACTGTCACAATCGTAAAGATGAGGATCATCATCACCACCACAAATTATCGCCACCATCACCATCACCATCATCACCATCATCACCATCACCACCATCATCATCATCATCATCACCATCATCAGCTCATCATCATCATCATCATCATCATCATCATCATCATCATCATCATCATCATCATCAGCATCATCATCATCATCATCATCATCATCATCATCTCATTATTCATCATCGTCAGCAACATGATCTTTATTGACATCATCATCCGCATAAGCATCGCCATCATCATCATCATCATCATCATCATCATCATCATCATCATCATCATCATTAAAACCACCATCATCATCGTCGTGATGATCCTCGTCATCATCACATCATCACCATCACCATCACCATCACCATCACCATAATCACCATTACCATCACCACCATCAGATTCGTCATCATCATTGCCATCGTCACGATCATCACCATCATGATTTTCCAGTAATCTTTTTCGTCTTTGTCATCACCATCGTCAGAATCGCCGAGATATCGAAAAAAGACGTCGACCATCGAAATGGGGAGACGGAAGCAGCGTTGCGTGCAACCGTCCGGGGTCAGCCTGCCAGAACCCCATATTTCTCCTCGTCTTCCCCCTCCTCCTCCTCCTCATCCTCCTCCTCCTTCTCCTCCTCCCCTTAGCCGCCTGCTTATGCCCTTCGTCCTCCCAATCTGCCCCTCCTGTCCACTTTCCTGCCCCCTCCTCATCCTGCTTCTCCAAATCCTCCCACGTCTCCTCCTTCTTCTCCTCCTCCTCCTTCGCCACATGAACACGAAGGGTCCAGGATTCACCCGCCGAAACCGGACTGCTGGGGTAAGACTTGCAAAGAACTACATCCCGAAGAGAAAGAGGCCACCGCCAAGCTGTCTGGCACACTTAGTGCGTCCTGGGCATGCAGCGCAGCGGCCGTGCTCCGACCACATGAACACGGACCTTCAGCACTGCACTCCGACACAATCGCTCTGGTTTCAGACTCCCCCACCCCTCGCCACTCCCCCGTGCGTTTCGAACTGTTCGTGCCCGATTGGAAGCCCCTCCGATGGCCGTCGCTGCGCGAAGCGGGCCGTTTCAGAGGAATGATCTCCGAGGGGGGCAAATGCGATGTGGCATCGTTCGTCTGATTCACCCTCTTGCCGCCCGGTGCCACGGAGGTCCCCACGTGTGCCATGGAGGGGCCGTTCGGGCCGTGGGACCTCCAGAGGCATCTGAGGACATCCTCGAAAAGAGACCTGCTGTACGGACACTCTCCTCCTCCTCCTCCTCCTCCTTCTCCTCCTCCTCCTCCTCCTCCTCCTCCATCCCTTGTCATTACACATAGCTCCTCTCCGTTGCACCCCGAGACGTGTCGACAGGGCAGGCCAGGCGTTTCGCTGGAGACTTCCTCACCATTGATGGGACGCACAGAGACATACTAATACTATATGCTCCTTGGAGGCTCGCGTTCGACCCGAACACATGGTACACCTATCTTATAGTAGATCCTTTCCCGAACGATGTGGCCTGGCCACGACGCACATAATTAATAAGATTTCTCGGTGCGCGCGTCGCCCCTGGGGGGGCGGCGCTCACAAGACAGCCCAAGGAGGCCCAGAGGACGCCCCAAGAGCGGCCCCAGAGGAGGACCACGAAACAACATTTCGAACGTTCGGCCCTAAAAAGCCTTCAGGAAGGCCCAAGACCCCCAAGAGCCCTCAGGAGGCCCCCAAGATGCCCCCAAGGAAAACCCCTGGACGCGCCCCAAATGCCCCCCCGAGCACGCAGGCAAATAACGCGATGCTACACTCCGGGCCGGCGGAATGAGCGGAGCGATTGAGCACGAGTGGAGGGCGGGTGGCCTGAAAAAAGAGATGTATCCCCCGAGCGCCACGCACATCTGTCTTTGAAAGGCTGCAAGGAGCTTCACAGATGGAGGGCGGGTCGCTTCCAAGAGGTGGTCCTCGCCTCAGAGCCGCGCACCTTCGTCTCATAATTCAAACGAGTGGGACGGATGGAGGGCGGGTGGCTTGCGAAATGTGGTTCTCGCCCTAGCGCCGCGCACACTCGTCTTGAAAGTTTGCAAGAGCTTCACGGATGGAGGGCGAGTCGTGTCCAAAAAAGGGGCTCAAGCCATAGCGCCGCACTCATTCGTCTGAAGAGTCTTCAAAAGGGTCAGAAATTATTGTGGCTGATGTCCCAGAAGCGATGTCGTGGCACGATGTGGGACTGCCAGGCCGCGACGGCTACGCGGATTCGCGGCGTTGAAATCCCAGGAATTGTGCTCTGGCACAGTTCGGGATCGCCAGGACGCAACAGTAACTCTGAGCCGCGGCGTGAAAGTCCCGAGGATGGTGTTCTGGCATGGCTCAGGATTTTCAGACGGCTGTCTTCGCACGGGGCCTTTCCCCTCTGTGATAATGAACTCTTGCATGGACCTATGAAGAAGGAACTTCGAGGGAGAGCTGATTGCAACATCGTTAACGAGTCTTGGGTGTACAGTGGTCCTCCTCATCCTCCTGTTTCTCCTCCTGCTCAGTCCTCGTTCCCCTCCCCCGCCGTCTTCTCCTCCTAACCTTCTGCTCCTCACCCTCTGTCTCTCCCCATCTTCTCCTCCTGCTCCCCTGCTCGCCCCCCTCATCCTCATCATTGTCCCAGTATGCCCCTCCCCATCCTCAACCTCCTCCTCCCCATTCATCCTCATCCTCCTTCTCATCGTCATCCTCCTCCTTCACCTCCTCCCTCATGTATCCCTCCTCCTCCTCCTCCTATTGCTAATCCTTCCCCTTTCCCCTCGATATATCATCATTCCCCTCGTCTGTCTCAGCCTACTCCTGCCGTATCATCACCACCACAACCATAAGCCGCATCACCATCATCGTCATCTTCCGCATCGTCGTCGTTCGTCGTCGTTCGTCAGACTGTCTCCCGTCAATCCGATCATCATCACCTTCATCCGTATCATCATCAGCAGCAGCAGCATCATCATCCTCATCCTCATCATCATCCTCATCATCCTCATCATCATCATCAGCATCATCATCATCATCATCATCATCATCATCATCATCATCATCATCATCATCATCATCATCATCATCATCATCATCATCATCATCAGCATCGTCATCAGCATCATCAGCATCATCCTCATCATCGTCATCATCATCATCAGCATCATCATCATCAGCATCATCATCATCATCATCCTCATCATCGTCATCATCATCATCATCATCATCATCATCATCATCATCATCATCATCATCATTGTTATCAGCAGGAGCAACATCATCGTCATCGTCATCACCATCCCATCACCATTGAGTCTTCATTACCTTCATCACCATAGCCGTGCCCATCGTCGTCCACATGGTCGTGATTGTCAGTATCGGCTTCATCGTCCTCGTTTTCATGCCCCTTCTCGCCCCCCGTCTCCTCCTCCCTACCCCCTCCTCCTCCTCCTCCTCCTCCTCCTCCTCCTCCTCCTCCGTCTCCTCCTCCTCCTCCTTCTCTTCCTCTACTTCCGAATCCGCCCCTACGTCTGCCGCCCTCACCCTGAGATGGGTCGTTGAGCATGTGCGTCAATGCAAAATGCTGAGTGTTCTGTTTGCCCGTGATTCTTCTCTGCACCCTCATCCTCACATGCATTATACACCTCATCACCCTCACCCTCATCAACGAAACAAAGACCAGTAACGTAATGCATGCCAACTGCGAAATCACATGGCAAGGTGATGTACAACCATCCCGCCTGTACGTATCCTCGGGGCCCTCGCTTTCCTGCTTGATCCCGAACATGGGCACAACTGTCTCCAGCACCCACGTGTGCAACCATCCGCTGCTCCGATGCAAGAGGCCATCGGCGTCATTGTCATCGTGCGCAACCGCCCACTCCACAACTAATCGACAGGACACCCAGACGCAGTCTCCGCCCATGGATAGGGGGAGCGTGACCGTGGAGCAACAGTGATCACTCGACGGTCGGACACCGCACGAGAGTCTGTTTAACTTGCCCCTCGCTCTCTTCTCATCGCCCACGGATTCCTTCCTCCCGCCCTGTGCGTTGTTCCTCCTCCTCCTCGTACTCCGCCTCCTCCTCCACATCCTTCTCGTCCTCCTCGTTATATGTGTTATCCTCCTCCTCCCTCCTCCCTCCTCCTCCTCCTCCTTCCTCCCTCCTCCCTCCTCCTCCCTCCTCCTCCTCCTCCTCCTCCTCCTCCTCCTCCCCTCCTCTTCCTTCTCCTCCTCCTCCTCCTCCTCCTCCTCCTCCTTCTCCTCCTCCTGTCGGCGCTCAAGGGGACAATCGGAGCACTCAGTCGACCAGTACGATCGGAATGGGAAAGTCTGGGTACGACGGCCGCAACTCCTGCCCATCTTGAGCAGGACTCGCTGCCGGAGCCCCTGCGGATGTTGTCCATTCGAAACAGACGGCCAGCTGCCCAACAGCGGCCGCTGTCGGTGTTGGACAGTATTTGCTGTTGGGCATCGTACCAATTTCTTCTTTATCCCATTCGGGCGTCCGACAGGTCGAGGGGCGACCTGAGCTCACCTGGGAGGCAACTGAGGGTAATTTTCGGGCGCAGCTGCTTCTTATCATTATGGTTCTCTATCTATCGCATTCCAGCGCAGGTCGCGGGGTCAAAGCGGCCGCTGCGTAGCGGCGCGATGGAGGCGGTGCAGGGTAGCGGAGCAGGGCGGCGCCCAAGAAGTGACGGCGACCGTGGGAGGCTCGACGGAGCCGCACAGGGAGGGGACAGCTGCGAGGCAGAGTCGCGCAGGGGTGGCCGCAAAGAGAGGGGCCTGACATCCTTGCGCAGTGAGCAAAAAACACGACGGGAAAATTTGGATGACGTTCGGCCGCAGCGGAGCCCTTGTCCGGAGCAGGGACTGTCAAAGAATGGGTCAGGGTGAAAACTGGTCCCGTTGCAACAGAAAACAAAACAAAACGACGTCGGATGTCTGGCTTCCTCCTCCTCCTCCTCCTCCTCCTCCTCCTCCTCCACCTCCTCCTCCTCCTCCTCCTACACCTCCACCTCCTCCTCATCCTCCTCATCCTCCTCATCCTACCCCTACCCCTACCCCTCCTCCTCCTCCGCCTCCTCCTCCTCCTCCTCCTCCTCCTCTCTCGTCTCTCCTCCCTCCTCCTCCTCCCTCCTCCTCCTCCTCCTCCTCCTCCTCCTCCTCCTCCTCCTCCTCCTCCTCCTCCTCCCCAACCTCGCCTCCCCCTTTTTATGTCTGGGGAGGGGGACGGTGGCGGCAGCCCTGTGGCGGAGTCAGCAGCAGAGCGTCGCAGGGACAAGCTCTCGAGCTACCGCCGCTGGGGCGCCAGAGGACATAATGGTGCTGTGTGTTTCTGTTGGAGGCGCACGTCCGACCCGAGCAGGTAGTGCACACACCTTGCAGTCGAGCTTGCTTAGTGGGTCGACCCTACCAGATCAAGGGTACCACTGCATCATGTGTTTAGCGGCCCATGCCCTCTGCATTTCAATGGCAGTGTGGCCCTCGGATGGATCCTGTGCCCTCTTGCGTGTCCTCTCCGATCAGACTCGCCTGCATGGCATATCGTTACCCACGCGGCGAGGCCAGAAGAAAAACACCACGGTGCTCATACTACAAGATGTGTCGAAGCGCGCGCCGTCCCTGCGGGAGCGACGAACGCACAGTACAACCATGTCTGAGCCCTACCGAGCAGCCCTCCCCGCCGATGTGGGGAGGCCCTGGGGTAAGACGAAGAAGGCAGAATCGAGACAAAGCCGGACCGATGCAGATTGAGGACCGCTGAGAATCGGCGGCTTCGGAGGACGTGTGGGGCGCCGCAGCCGTTTCAGAGCGTGCCAGAACGCGCTGACCACGGATTTATCTTCATTGTTCCAGGCCCGTCCACTGGGGCCCGGCCAGCGGAAGCCGGGGGGGGCGGTGGACGGGCAGGGCGCGCTCACAGTCCGCGGACGGGCGACGGCCTTGCGGATACGTGCCCACAGAAGGCCGCGACCAGCATCACGAGGATGCCGATGCTCGACTCCTGCGGGTCGCCCATCTTCCCGAACACCGCCTCTGCAGGAGGGCCCGGAATCGAAACGACAAGTCGGATCGGCGAGCGAAGCGAATCGGATCGGCGGAAATCGGCAGCCGAGTCGGGAAAAATCGGATGGGCGGGAATCGGCAGGCCAATATGACTTCAGTCAGGAATCGGAATCCGAATCGGAATTCAAAGCCGAACCGAATCGGAATGGGAAGCTATCGAAATCGGATCGAATCGAATCCGAGGAATCGAAACGAGCCCTGCCTTTGTCATCTCAAATTCCATGTCCTGGTTGGACTTCCACATGAGGGCGGAGAGCAGGAGGGCACAGGGGAACGCAAGCATCCACTGCGCCCACCAGTCCACGTCCGCGGACGCGTAGGTGAAGCTCGGGCAGAAGCGCAGGACCCGCACGTGGTCGTAGGCGTAGATCCACAGGTGGCCGATGGCGAGACCTAGGCAAGCGCGTTCCACCTCGTCCTCCTTCTCCTCCTCCTCCTCCTCCTCCTCCTCCTCCTCCTCCTCCTCCTCCTCGCACAGTAGCTACTCGCAAATGGCCTGGATATCCGCCACGAGGGATTCACGATCCTCTAAAGTGAGCGTTTCCTTGTTCGGAGTTCCGACATTGGGCGGAAGGGCGGGGGGAGGGGGGGGGTTGGCTCCGGACCTCTGCTCAGTGCGACTGTTTGCAAGAGTGCGGCCTCTGCGGGAGACTCCACCCGCTCGAAGCAGGTGTAAAAACACAGCCAAGGTCCACTCCATGGGGGGGGAAGGGGGTGCGAGGGCCCGCGCCGATCGTCAAAACACTGAACAAAAAAAACATCACCGTAGAGGAAGACATGTCTGTTTCGGACGTTTGCGAGTAGGCACTTTGCGAGTAGTGGAACGCACACGGTGAAGACCGAAGAATATGATCAGGTTGTGGCCGCCTGGGAAGAAGAGGATCAGCACGGCCAGGATGACGTTGAGGTGGATGTCGGCATAGCGCGAGAGGTCAAACGGGATGCTCGCAAGGTATGCTTCTGAGGCGGCCGTGCGAATGTCAGAGTGGCTCCGCACCAGCAACACCATGATCATGTACGGCAGAAAGACTGCCGCAAACGGCTCGAGCAAAAACGGGATCAGGAAAGTGCTTGGCCAAGCGTACGCCTGTGTATTTTCCCCCAACTCGCGCTGCATGCCATATGTCATCAGCAACGATATGACTGTCGGGGCCTCCGTGATGGGCTGACCGCCATACATGCGCGCGCCCAAGCCAGACAGCTGCCAGTAAGCCATGAAGCAAGTGATAACCAGATCGAGCAGCACATTAAACATGCACGAGATCGTATAGAATATCATGTAACACACCTCGCGGTCCTTCCGATATGTAAAACGCATCCTGTCCGAGACCTCACTGCAGGTGCTGTACATCATGACGTTTCCCAGCACGACGATCATGCCAAAAACGAACTGAGAGACGCCGTCCGGAGACTGGCCGTAGGAGTAGCTGGCCGATGCGGAGACCCAGACAAAGGGCAGGTAGAAGACCCCGGCCCAGATGCAGAGCGCGAAGGAGATGGAGACCACGCCAGCCGCGACCTTCGCCTTGTGGCCGAAGGGCACGTTCTCGTCGGCGAAATTCTGCCACAGGGCTCCTTCCGGCTCAACCTCCACGGCGTCCAGCCTCACAGGCTTATCCCTGAACGTCATGTCCTGACTGCTCGACTCCGCGATCGCTGCGTTGCGATCTCTCTCCGTGTCGAACACGACGAACACCTTCCCCGAGGATTTGAGGCCGAAGAGCATCTGCTTCACCTGATTGTTGTGCTCCTCTCCGTGCTTATCCTTGCTCGCTGCATCGTGTCCGTCCGCCTCGCGACACCTGTGCCTCATCTCGAAGCCCCTGGCCCGGCCCCTGGTCAAAGCCTTCTGCACGTGTGTAGACAGGAACACAGACTCGATACTCCTCATCAATTTGGTCTTCGTCGACTCATTGTGGAGTTCCGTGAGTTCCTTCGAAAACGGTTGTGCCTTCTCGCTTCGAGAAGTTTCGAGGGGATCATCTTCGACCGTACCATCGGATGCTTGCGACACTCGCCGATCCTTGTAATCCTCATCCATTCCCACAGCCTCCAAATCTTCTCTGACAGCATCCTGCGACACGGTTTTTGTTGTCTTACTTTTCTCAGCAAGTACCTGCAACAGTACCAGGTCTTCATCAAGTATGCCCATGATCTCGTCCTCACAGTGCTCGAAGACCCAACTGATAGACACCCCGATGACCGTCCTCCCGGTCTGCTTCTCGAAAAACTCCTTCAGCTCCTCTTCGATACGCTCCTCGCCACTGATTCCGCTCAGGCCAGATGCAACGGCACAGAAGTCCTTGTGGGTCGTGTTGTTCAGGTCCATCCTCTGGTATATGCGCAGCTGGCGGATGCTGAACAGTATGGATCCCAAGAACGTGAAGACGTAGCCGAAAGCCAGGAATGCAACCTCGGCGGGATCTCTGCAGGTCTCTCTGTCTCTCCAGAGGTCTCCGGGAGACCTGCGGAAGGCATCCGAAGCCCCCGGGAGGCTTCGCCGGAGGCCCCCGAAGCTCCTGGAGGGCGGCTCGGGTAGAAGCCGAGGAGGGGGGCCAGCCGGGAAGCGGAGGAGGGGCGGAGGGAGCGCGGACGCGGTGGGGGCCAGTGACTGTGTCGACCCCCCTCTAGGACGCCCCAGGGCTCGTGGAGGCCCACGAAAGGGGCAGAAGAAGCCTGCGGAAAATGCACGGTCATAACTTGTAGTATATAAGGACGCGCTGTAGGGACGCAAGACCCTTGGACGGTCCTTTGACGTCCCAGTTGAAGCTTTTCTTGCGGCGCAGTGTCGAACCAATCTAAGGACGCAAGGGTGCCCTTGGGAAGCTTACCCGTCCTTACCATGGATTGTCAAGGTACATCCCAGACTTCCTCCGATCTGACTTCTTCAATACGCTGCCCCAGGGCTCCCGAACCCATCCCCGGGGACAGTATTTCGTCCTGGATCTACTGCTCATGGTCCTGGAACCCAAGACCAGGCCCCAGGGGCTGAAAAAAACATCTCGTCGGAGGTCCTCGATCCTCGAGCACAGCCTTTGTCCACATGAGCTTGTGCTGGGTCTCGTAGCCCCACGCGATGACGAGGCACTGCTCTCTGGGAGAGTCCCACGGCCTCGTGCCCATGATGAAGAGGTCCTCCGCGCTGGGGAGGGGAGAGGAGGAGGAGAACCAATGTAAACCCAAGACCCATCAACGAGATTGCTATAAACTCTTCCTCCAAATTCACTCTTCACAAGCCCCTGCAAGGATTTAGTTTCACCGCGTGGAAATGCCCCGCTGAAGGACATCTGCTCAAAATCCGGACAGAACACCACTCCTGGGATTTAAACGCCGCGAATCACAATCACTGTTGCGTTTTGACGATCCTGAACCGTGCCAGATCACCTTTCCTAGGACTTCAGCACAGCGAATCAACATGACTGTTGCGCCCTGACATTTCGACCAACTGTTGCAAACTTTGACGATGAATGCGCGCGGCGCTAAGGCGAGAGCCACACTTTGAAAACCAGCCGCCCTCCATCCGTGAAACTCTTGCAAGCTTTGAGAACGAATGTACGCGGCGCTAAAACAAGAACCCCATGTTAAAAACGGCCCGCTCTACATTCGTGAAACTCTTGCGAACTTTGTGAAATTCTTGAAATCCTTGAAAACGAACATACGCTGCGCTGGGGCGAGAACCACATTTTGGAAGCGACCCCTGAGACTGTTGCAATGTGTAAGCTTCAGGACCATGAGTGGTGAGGAAGTCTCGGGCGAAATGCCTGGTGCGACAGGGAAGAGCTACTCATAAGGATGAGGGATGGAGGAGCAGGAGGAGGAGGCGGAGAAGGAGGACGACGACAACGAGGACGCGGAGGCGACAGGAGGAAGGCACCCGGGTGATCTGTCGCCTTCCATGCTTGGCACACACACGCACGCACCCCTCTCGTGGCGTGCTTGGCACGTTCGGCCGACGCGCCTGGCCCCGGCAGACGCCAAACCTCAAACGGGTCCGGAGCCGCGGATCAGAAAGAGGGCAGAAACAGAGGGAGGAGGAGGAGGAGGAGGAGGAAGACGAGGACGAGGAGGAAGAGGAGAAGGAGGAGGATGAGGAGGAGGAAGAGGAGTAGGAGGAGGAGGAAGAAGAGGACGAGGAGGAAGAGGAGGAGGAGGATGAGGATGCGGAGAAGGAGGGGGATGAGGAGGAGGAAGAGGACGAAGATCTAGGATCGAGGATCGAGGTAAGAGTCTGTGTGAGTTTGAACCCTTTTCGGGGGCCTGATGAGACCTCCGCACGGGAGGGGGCAGCGAGCGAAAGGAGAGCAGAAAGAGGGTGAGGAGGAAGGCCCCTCCCCAGGCCTTGAAGGACGTCAGACATCCTGTCACCGAGCATACTCTAAAGGCCGCCGGAAATACATGCGCCAAACCTCAGATGGTCAATCCATGGGTCGGCCTCGCCACTTAGATTACCAGGTGTTCAAGTTCCTGGCAGGATCCAGGCGGCATGGTTTTCTGGATGCTGGGCCGCCGTGCCCAACAAAACCACCACGGCGCAAAAGCACTTGATAATCACCAGCACTACACGTCTCCTACATAGTCTGGAGCGTTTGCTCCGAACGGGTCACGTGTTGCACACGGCCATGTTCATGTTGCACACGCGCGAACCTGAATCTGCGATGCTGGTGCTGCAAAAGCGACCATACACAAACACACACACACACATTGTTTGGCGGTCGCGGCCTCGCGCGCAGCGTGGAGGCGGAGAAGAGTTGGACCCGGTGCGCGCGCGGCAGGGCCTCGGGGGAATCTCCGCAGATCCCACACGCATACACAAAGTTTGCATCCCTGCCGCGAGGCCTCATGACGCGGGCCCCTGCTGATTCTGTTCAAGATTGCAGACATCACTCGAGGGGAGGGAGTCCGCGGGCACTCCTCTGGGCGGCTTCCCGGAGCCTCTCTCGCCAAATTTCTCCTCCCCAAAAAAGCCTCGGGGGCCGTCGCTCGCAGTCCTACGGCGCAGCGTGCTCTATAGCATGGCCCCAACGGGCCTGTCGCCCTCCGTGGGCGTGTTGGCCCCCACAGAGCCTCGGCCCAAGACGCCCACGCCGCTGGGACCACACTCGAGCACGTTGCGTTATGTCGGGCCTGTCCCCCTACAGGAGGATTTTCGACGAAAAATGAGAAATACCCCAAAAATACACCAAAAAGGCCAAAAAATACTTTAAAAATAATCCACAGACTATTTTTTGATTATTTTTGGACTATTTTTGGTGTATTTTTATGTTTCGTCGAAAATCCCCCTGTAGGGGGACAGGCCCGACTTAAACGTTGCGCTTGGATTCCGAACAACGCTCCCGAGAACGCGCACGGAGATGGTCCCAGCGGCGTATCCTGACGCCCTCTGTGGGCGTCTTGGGCCGCGGCTTTGGGGGACAGAGAAGCAGAAAACCGTCCAACACGCACTTTCTAGTCGGCGGCGCAGAGGGTCCTCTGGCGCGGACAGCAACATGGGCTGCGAATCGCGATCGAACGTAGTCGATAACACAGCGAAGGAGACGGCAAACACTGAGATGCAAACGATGGGTGGTTGACTAGAGACTAGAGGGCTTGTAAACTCGAAAGAGAGCTGCAGCGGTCAGAAAACTGAGGAGCAAGCTAAACTA